AGCACCAAGCTTGACCTCTAATCAGCCCTTCTGTTGCATGTTCTTGCCACCTCTGCTCTCTGTATACTTGAGCATTGTCAATATACAGCCAAGTCAAGCGCAGAGGCACAAAGGCCTGCACCAGCCAACACTTAGTCCTTTTAGGTAAAGCAACAAAGGAATCAAAAGAGCTTTTATTTCACTAGGATTTAAGTGTTTCACCTCTTTCAGGAGCCTTTTTACAGTGGATTATTCCCTGAGACCTCGAGCCTAGCCTTCATTACGATAACTGCCATAATGACGCAGGGTAGTGTTCTCTAATGAGGCTTTGAAGTCCTGCTAGCCATCAAGGAGCAGCCTCCAGAGATTTGTGGCTTAATACCAGCTATAAGTAGCTGATGATTATCAATCAGTACCTATGACCTGCTGAGTCTTTACTAATGATATTTTTAAGTAATGTATCTTAAGTGACTGAATGAATGCTTCGGTGTTATAATGAATAAAGAAAGCCTCTGTTAAGGTATGCGACACTCGGGCCAGTCGGGGCCCAGTGTAATTAGTAGTTCATTTATGAAAACTTCGGACTAACAGGGCCAGCATCCTTAAAAGCAAACTAGGTTTTACAAAGTGCTGTCAAACCACATCTAAAGAAAAAGCATTCCAAATCACAGTACTTTAGGTTGTCTCTGTAACACCCTAATGGCTGCATCACCCTGTCTTACTGATCATCTCTGTCATTTGTGTGTCTCATTAGTCTCGATCAAAAGAAGGATTATATAAACAGGAATAAGGGTGAAGACCACTGTCTGTACCTCTTAAAACTTGACCAATTTATGCGTAGAGTTGGGCATGATATGAGCTGTGCAAGAAGGGGAGTAATATGCAGAGACAAACTATAGTCCAGATTAGCATGCCATGGGCAATTTAAGGTTGAACGTGTTAGATTTTGATGGTCAAAGGTCACTGTGACCTCACATCTGTCCCATTCTTGTGAATCTGACTGCCTGGCAGAGGTATACAACTGCAAAGTGGAAATTCTAGTTTTATCTGGTTTAAGAAATTAGTCATATATTTTACATAAATGTATTAGCCTAAATAAAAGACACTTTTTTGATATGATACTTTGATGCTTTGGAATAAAGAATTGTGTCTTGTTGCTTTTCTTCTTTTGTCTCTCCTCTATCCACTCACCTCAACCGGTCGAGGCAGAAGGCCGCCCACCAAGAGCCGGGGTCTGTCAGAGGTTTCTTCTGTTAAAGGGAGTTTTTCCTCCCCACTGTCGCCAAGTGCTTGCTCAAGGGGATTTGTTGGGTTTTCCCTCTATAATAATAGTGATAATAGTAAGGTCTAGACCTTACTTTGTAAAGTGTCTTGAGATGACTTTTGTTGTGATTTGTCGCTATACAAATAAAATTTGATTGATACAGATGCACTGTATTTCATGAGTGAGACATTTGATAGCTGAAAAATAAACTCTGACAAACTAAACCAAAGTAGGTGGAGTTCTCTGTCAAGCACAATAAAATAGAAAACTGCTTTCAGTTAACCCAGAAATGCATCATGTAGTTTTTAGTTTTGTACAAAAAACATCTTCCTCCATGGAGTTTTCAAGTGAATAAATCGGTATTGAGAGGACAGTCCACACTATCTTGTGGACTCAACATTTTATTTTTGCAGTGGTCAGTCTAAGACTGTATAAACAGTTCATTGTTGTAAGGGAGCTAAAAGACAGA